ACAGCAGAGAGCTGGCCTGGAAGAGGGGCAACCGGGACAGAATCCGGCGCCCCAACCAGGACTAGAACCCGGTGTGCCAGCGCTGCAAGGCCTAACTCTCTTTTTTATGATGTCAGTAATCACCTGAGGCTCTTGTCATGAGCTGCCAAGGCTATGGAAGCCTATAATGTTCATAAACTCCGACCTTATTTAGACAAGGCCACAGTCAATGTGGAAGTTCCCTCCTCCCTTCAGAGAAAGGTACCTCCTTCTTTGATGGGCCCTTCTTTCCATCAGGATCTCCCTCACAGAGATCTTTCATTTTTTGCCACAGTGTCTTGGCTTTCCATGGCTTTGAAACTCTCATGGGCTTTTTAGCCGGATCTGAATGCCTTAAGGGCTGATTCTGAGGCCAGAGTGCTGCATAGGGTATTTGCCATTCCATGATTCTGCTGTGTATCCCACTTCCCATGTTGGATCATTCTCTCCTTTTTAATTCTATCAATTATTATTAGCAGACACTGGTCTTATTTATGTGATCTCTTTGACACTTCATACTATCTTTATGATCAATTATGAACTTAAACTGATCACTTTAACTAGTAAGATGGCATTGGTACATGCCAACTTAGTGGGATTTGCAGTTCCATGACACATTTCTAGCTTTACCATTAGGGGTAATTCTGAGTGAGCATGTGCTGAACTGTACATCTTTCTCTCTTATTCCCACTCTTATATTTAACAGGGGTCAATTTTCAGTTAACTTTAAACTCCTAAGAATAATTGTGTGTTAATTAAAGAGTTCAATCAATGGTATTCAGTAGAAAAATAAAATACTATAAAGAATAAAATAATAAGTTATTCCTGGACAGACAGGACAAGGGCTGATCAAGTCACTGCTTCTCATAGTGTCCATTTCACTTCAACAGGTTTCCTTTTAGGTGCTCAGTTTTTTGTCACCGATCAGGGAGAACATATGACATACGTCCCTTTGGGACTGGCTTATTTAACTCAGAATGATGTTTTCCAGATTCCTCCATGTTGCAAATGATTGGATTTCAATTTTGTTTTTACCGATGTCTAGTATTCCATAGAGTATATATCCCATAGTTTCTTTATCAAGTCTTCTGTTGAAGGACATTTAGGTTGATGCATGTCTTAGCTATTGTGAATTGAACTGCAGTAAACATGGAGGTGCAGATGACTCTTTTATTCATTGATTTCATTTCCTTTGGGTAAATTCCAAGGAGTGTGGTGGTTCTTGTGGTAGGACTATATTCGGATTTCTGAGGTATCTCCAAACTGTCTTCCATAGTCGTTTTACCAGTTTGTGTTCCCACCAGCAATGGATTAGGGTACCTTTTTCCCCACATCCTCGCCAGCATTTGTTGTTTGTTGATTTCTGTATGACAGCCATTCTGAGGTAAGGTGAAGCCTTATTGTGGTTTTGATTTGCATCTCCCTGATTGCTAGTGATCCTGAGCATTTTTTCATGTGTCTGTAGGCCATTTGGATTTCCTTTTTGATAAATGTCTGTTTAAGTGCTTTCCCACTTCTTGACTGGGTTGTTTGCTTTGCTGTTGTTGAGTTTTTTGATCACTTTTTTTATATTTTCGTTATTAATCCTTTATCAGTTGCATGGTTTGCAAATAATTTCTACCATTCTGTTGGTTGCCTCTTTACTTTCCTGTTTCTTTTGCTGTACAGAAGCTTCTCAAGTTGATGTAACCCACTTGTTAATCTTGGTTTTTATTGTCTGTGCCTCTGGAGTCTTTTCCAGGAATTTTTGTCTATGCCAATGTCTTGAATAGTTTCTTAAGTGCTCTCTAGTAATTTGATGGTATTGGATTGTAGATTTGGGTCTTTGATACATTTGAATTCATTTTTGTATAAAGTGTAAAGTAGGGGTCCTGCTTCATACTTCTGCATGTAGAAATCCCGTTTTCCCAGCACCATTGATTGAAGAGACTGTCTTTGCTCCAGGGAATGATTTTAGCTCCTTGGGCAAATATAATTTGGTTGTAGATGCTTGGATTGATTTCTGGTGTTTCTATTCTGTTCCATTGGTCTATCCATTTGTTTTTGTACCAGTACCAAGGTGTTTTGATTATAGCTACCTTGTAGTATGTCTGGAAATCTGGTATTGTGATGCCTCTGGCTTCATTTTTGTTGTAGAAGATTGCTTTAGCTATTCGAGGTCTCCTGTGCCTCCATATGAATTTCAGCATCATTTTTCTAGATCTGAGAAGACTGTCTTTGATATTTTGATTGGTATCGCTCTGAATCTGTAAATTGCTTTTAGAAGAATGGACATTTTGATATTGATTCTTCCAATCCATGAACATGGAAGTTTTTTCCATTTTTTTTGTCTCTGTTTCTTTCTTTAAAGTTTTGTTATTCTCATCGTAGAGATCTTTGACCTCATTGGTTAAATTTATTCCAAGGTATTTAATTTGTTTTATAGCTATTTTGATTGGGATTGATCTTAGAAGTTCTTTCTCAGCCTTGGCATTGCCTATGTATACAAAAGCTGTTTTTTGGCTGGCATTGCGGCTCACTTAACTAATCCTCCACCTGCGGAGGTTCTGTCCCCGTTGCTCCTCTTCCAGTACAGTTCTCTGCTGTGGCCCCGGAGGGCAGTGGAGGATGGCCCAAGTGCTTGGGTCCTGCACCCGCATGGGAGACCAGAAAGGGGCACCTCGCTGCTGGTTTTGGATCGGCACAGCATGCCGGCTGCAGCGGCCATTTGGAAGGTGAACCAATGGAAGGAAGACCTTTCTCTTTGTCTGTGTGTGTGTCTCTCTCTCTCTCTCACTGTCTAACTCTGCCTGTCAAAAAAAAAAAAAAAAAGCTGTTATTTTTTGTGTGTTGATTTTTATATCCTGCTATTTTATCAAACTCTTCTATGAGTTCCAGTAGTCTCCTAGTGAAATCTTTTGGGTTCCAGATAGATAGATAGATAGATATAATCATATCATCTGCAAATAAAGATAGTTTGACTTCATCCTTACCAATTTGAATCCCTTTGATTCTGTTTCTTGCCTGATTGCTCTGGCTAAAACTTCCAGGACTATATTGAATAGCAATGGTGAGAGTGGGCATCCTTGTCCGGTTCCAGATCTCAGTGGGTATCATTCACTATTAACTAGTTGGTAAGGAAATTCATATGAGTGAATGCCTATTATTAACAAAGTACTGTTGTAGAAACTTCACTTTTCTTATTATTACTTCATGCTTTTATTTGTTCACTCATTTTACATTAAAAAGCCCAGAGAATAATAGAAAAGCCCAAGTTTATTTAACCACTTGGAATGAAGTAAACATATTAATCCTTTGGGTTCTTTCACTTCACATATTTTTATAATAGAAATAATATGGCAGAGCCGGCGCCGCGGCTCACTAGGCTAATCCTCCACCTAGCTGCACTGGCACCCCGGGTTCTAGTCCCGGTTGGGGCACCAGATTCTGTCCCGGTTGCCCCTCTTCCAGGCCAGCCCTCTGCTGTGGCCAGGGAGTGCAGTGGAGGATGGCCCAAGTACTTGGGCCCTGCACCCCATGGGAGACCAGGAAAAGCACCTGGCTCCTGGCTCCTGCCATCGGATCAGCGCGGTGCACCGGCAGCGCGCTGGCCGCGGCGGCCATTGGAGGGTGAACCAACGGCAAAAGGAAGACCTTTCTCTCTGTCTCTCTCTCTCACTGTCCACTCTGCCTGTCAAAAAAAAAAAAAAAAAAAGAAATAATATGGCAGATCAATTTGAAATACCCTAGGTTCCCTTCCTGAGTCATACTCCTCTTTCTCTCTCCTGAGAGACAGTGAATATTAGGACTTTTCTGTATATTAGCAACTTCTTGTGTATATTTCTATATAGGTATTGCACAAGGATCCATGAAAGATCTCTTATTGGTTTCTTGTTCATCCCTTCTTTTGTTGTTTAAATCTCTCCATCTGGTACATAGAGATCTGGTTCCCTCACTTCAGCGCTGTGCAGTATTCTATTATATGCACACATTACAGCTTACCTGTCCTACTGGTGCATGTGATGGTTTTAGGTACACATCTCAGATTTCTGGGTGACAGGCTGTGCATTCCCATTTAATTCTCATAGATGTTCCCTAGGACAGGTGGCATGACTTCCATTTGACAAATGAGAAAACTAAGGTGTTGAAATGCTATGTAACTTGGCCAATTTAGGGAGCCAGTAGTTGAATCCAGATCATATAACAACTGTTTAATTTCAACACTTAGCTGTCCATGTAAATCCTCACCTCTTAACCTTTTCCATCATCACAATAGTTGCAGTCAGCCAGTAATAAACATGCTTTTAAAGCAGAAGATCAGAGCAAGTAATGAGGAGAAGGTGTGTAGAAGAGAGAAAAATGGTTATCAACATTGTTCAAATTTTGAAATAAAAACATGGGTCTGAGGTGTCTGTATAGAGATGACTGTTCCTTTAAGATAGAAGACTATTCATTTTATGCTTCTTAAATGAATGTATTAAATGTAATATGCAGATGTATTTTGACTAAGGAAAGATCTATCAGGGGCCAGCGCTGTGGCACAGTAGGTTAATCCTCCGCCTATGGCACTGGCATCCCATATGGGTGCCGGTTCTAGTCTCAACTGTGGCCTGGGAAAGCAGTAGAAGGTGGCCCAAGTACTTGGGCTCCTGCACCCATGTGGGAGACCCAGGAGAAGCTGTTGTCTCCTGGCTTTGGATGGACACAGCTCAGGCTGTTGAGGCCATTTGGGGAGTAAACCAGTGTGTAGAAGACCTTTCTCTCTGTCTCCCTCTCACCGTAACTCTACCTCTCAAATAAATAAATAAAATATTAAATTAAAAAGAAAAGAAGTATCTAACAGTTAGCATGATGGCTCTGTATTTTACTTTGCAAAATGTGTAGGCCATTTTCTGTAGGTGAAGAAAATTAATCAACTGAGTCTTCTTCATGATACTTTATTCATGCTTGAAGCATATGTTTTGGGCTTCATTTTTGCTTTTGTTCTTTTATTCAATTTCTAGGTGGAAAATCTAGTGTATTAATTGTGAAAATTCTGGAGCTGCATGAGGAATGTACCATGCAAGTTGCTATGTGTGAGCAATTAGGAGGGCCACCAGCTGCCAGTCCTTCCCGAGATGTGACACGCGGGCCTGGAACCAGCCTGAAGGTTCTGTTCACCAGGGAGACTGCAGGACACCTCAGAGGACGTCCCCAGGACATCATCCACATCTTTCCTCCCTGGTGAGTACAAAGAACTGGGTCCAGTAGTCACCAGCTGTGAGTCCTGTCTCATAAGAAAAGACATTTTTATCAGCAACATTTTTGTCACTTTATTATAGAGAAATGCAAGGGAAGAAAGCCAGGATTTGACATAGGCTTTATGTATCAGAAGCAACAGATTGTCTTTGATGGCTTGTTTGTACTTCTGGCAGCAGATGTTAATATTTGGGGAGAAGGGATGGGGAAACAACTGTATCAGGATGCTTGCCTACATGTTATGTAAAGAATGTTCTGTTTTTGTCCTCAGAAAAATCATTTTAATAATATATATTATGTTACAATAGAATAATACATATTAACTTCAATATTTCTTTGGTAGTCACTTGAAAGGGAGGATGAAAAGCCTGAATTAAGACACAATTGCGTGGGGTTTTTTTGTTTTGTTTTGTTTTTTTGCTTCTTTGACAGGCAGAGTTAGACAGTGACAGAGAGAGAGAAAGGTCTTCCTTCCATTGGTTCACCCCCCAAATGGCTGCTATGACCAGTGGGCTGCACCAATCCGAAGCCAGGAGCCAGGTGCCTCCTCATGGTCCCCCATGCAGGTGCAGGAACCAAGCACTTGTGCCATCCTCCACTGCCTTCCCAGGCCACAGCAGAGAGCTAGACTGGAAGAGGAGCAACTGGGACAGAATCCGGCGCCCCGACCGGGATTAGAACCCGGGGTGCCGGCGCCACAGGCGGAGGATTAGCCTAGTGAGCCACTGCCCTGGCCCACAATTGCGTTTGAACACTAGGTGCATAACTGTTTATTATTGGATCAGAAATTATTTTCCTGAATGCCACATTAGTTTTCTTTTGCATGAGATATTAAGTTCCACCAAGAAAAGAAGAAAATTTTTTCACTTTTGAGTGAAGGCTTGAGTAGCCTTATCTTACATTCTTTTTTATGTTATTTATTGATTTTCATTTGTGCAATTCTTGGATTCTTAGAATTGGAAGTAACTTAAAAGTCCTTACGTTATACTTTCTTCCCACGGGAGAGATCTTTCTACTGCATCTATAGCATAGGATCTACACATCTTGGTGTCCATGGTGACTTTCTCATGACATTTCCAGAAGTCCCTTGTGTGAGAGCTGTGGGTTCTTGTGTATCATTGGTGGTTTTCTTCCCTCTGTCTCCTTCACTCCTTCTTGTACCTTTTTTCTGGCTGTTTTTCTTTATTTGTGCTCCATAAATGGATTATGGGTTGAAGAACATTAGTGCAGGAAGCCCTGTACTGGTTCTAAAAATGATAAATGAGACGCTTCTTTTTTTATATACCATGTCATCCAACGGAAGATAGGTTGAAAGACTACTTTAAATGCATGTAGAAAGACAACTTCGAATGCATGTGCCTAACAGACAGGTGGCAGCAGCTATTGATTCCATCTGTAAAAGCTTTTGCAAACTGGCTGGCACAGCGGCTCACTAGGGTAATTCTCCACTTGCAGCACTGGCAACCCCGGTTCTAGTCCCGGTTGGGGCGCCGGATTCTCTCCCGGTTGCTCCTCTTCCAGTCCAGTTCTCTGCTGTGGCCCGGGAGTGCAGTGGAGGATGGGCCATGTGCTTGGGCCCTGCACCCGCATGGGGGACCAGGAGGAAGCACCTGGCTCCTGGCTTCGGATCAGCCGCAGCATGCCGGCCGCGACGCACCGGCCGTAGCGGCCACCTTGGGGTTGAACCTCTCTCTCTCTCTCCCTCACTGTCTAACTCTGCCTTTCAAAAAAAAAAGCTTTTGCAAACTGATAGAAGTGAAAATATAGGAAATACTCATAAGATGTCATTTGATGTACTTATCTGGAGCCATTTGACTGAACTTTCTCAGAATGCCACCTCAAAAGAGGGAATCAAATACATAAATACAGTTAATATATACAAACAGATGAAAGAAGTTTGTTCTTATAACTATCAATAATATAAAACAAGATACTTTGGCAAATATTGACAAATATTAATCATTCTCATATGTTAGTGGAAGTGGAAGTTGGTACCTGTTTTGGCTGTATTCATAAACATTAATGTTTTCTGCACTTAGATATAGAACTCTGATTCCTAGGACATTACCCTATAAGAATATGAAGATATTTATGTAAAAGATAATGTCAGAAATGTTTTGCTCAAACATCTAAAATCTAAATGCAGCCTTAATGTAGTCATCAACATGGGATAGGCTAAAGTTATGGTACATTTTGGCACTGTTCAGTAATCTAATATAGTGATGTAGATAACATATTTTTTCATGTCTAAAAGATATCACAGTCTTCTTTTGCAGAAAACAGGTCATAAGATAACACTTGAGGTTCCTGGGGTAGTAGGAGAAGAAGTTGGATTCCCTATGGCAGAAGAAACAGTCAGGAATTCTGGGGTAGGAAGAACATTCAGGGTCCCCAGGGTAGGAGGAAAAGTTAGGGTCTCTGTGGAGCAGGAGAAGCAATGGGGAGGAGATGCAGTTCCTCTTCTCTTTCCATGGTCTCATTTCATTACCAAGAAGACAGACTATATACTCTTTGTATTGCTCAACTCAGATGGCTCTAACAAAATAGCACAGATAAGACTTCTCCTGATTCTGCACGTCAGAAGTTTACAATCAAGTGTTGGAGTTGGTTGGTAGTTGGTTTCTTCTGAGACCTCTCTCAGTGGCTATCATGTGTCTTTATTGTTTGAAGTTTCTGCTTTTTAATTAAGAGTTTGTTTTATTTTTCCAAATATTAACCAAAGTCAGTCTAGATGCCACTTAAAAATAGCCCACACTAATGGGTGGGGGGAGCCAACTCATTTTTTTTTTAACTTTTATTTAATGAATATAAATTTCCGAAGTACGGCTTATGGATTACAATGGCTTCCCCCTCATAACGTCCCTCCCACCCGCAACCCTCCCCTTTCCCACATCCTCTCCCCTTCCATTCACATGAGGATTCATTTTCGATTCTCTTTATCTACAGAAGATCAGTTTAGCATACATTAAGTAAAGATTTTAACAGTTTGCTCCCACACAGAAACATAAAGTGAAAAATAATAGATGATTTTTTAAATGATGATGAAATCAGATCAGACCTGTTGTCATGTTTAATCCCAGTGAGAGTCAAGTTGGGAATTGATAATTTCTTCTTCTTTTTTTTTTTTAACAGAAGATCAGTTTAGTATACATTAAGTAAGGATTTCAACAGTTTGCACCCCCATAGAAACACAAAGTGAAATATACTGTTTGAGTACTCGTTATAGCATTAAATCTCAGTGTACAGCACATTAAGGACAGAGATCCTACATGAGGAATAATTGCACAGTGACTCCTGTTGTTGACTTTACAAATTGACACTCCTGTTTATGGTATCAGTAATCTCCCTATGCACCAGTCATGAGTTTCCAAGGCTATGGAAGCCCCTTGAGTTCTCTGACTCTTATCTTGTTTAGACACGGTCATAGTCAAAGTGGAGGTTCTCTCCTCCCTTCAGAGAAAGGTACCGCCTTCTTTGAAGACCTGTTCTTTCCACTGGGATCTCACTCATCTCACTCACAGAGATCTTTCATTTAGGTTTGTTTTTTTTTGTTGTTGTTGTTTTTTGTTTGTTTGTTTGTTTGTTTGTTTTTTCCCCAGAGTGTCTTGGCTTTCCATGCCTGAAATACTCTCATGGGCTTTTCAGCCAGATCCGAATGCCTTTAGGGCTGATTCTGAGGCCAGAGTGCTGTTTAGGACATCCGCCATTCTTTGAGTCTGCTGAGTATCTCGCTTCCCATGTTGGATCACTCTCCCCTTTATTTATTCTATCAGTTAGTATTAGCAGGTACTAGACTTGTTTATGTGCTCCCTTTGACTCTTAGTCCTTTCATTATAATCAATTGTGAACTGAAATTGATCACTTGGACTAGTGAGATGGCATTGGTACATGCCACCTTGATGGGATTAAATTGGAGTCCCCTGGTATGTTTCTAACTCTACCATTTGGGGCAAGTCAGCTTGAGCATGTCCCAAATTGTACATCTCTTCCCTCTCTTATTCCCACTCTTATGTTTAACAGGGATCACATTTCAGTTAAATTTCAACATTTAAGAATAACTGTGTATTAATTACAGGATTAAACCAGTCATATTAAGTAGAACAGACAAAAAAAACTGCTAATAGGGATAATGTATTAAGTTGTTCATTAACAGCCTACTCATTTTTAAAAGGACTAGATAGTTTTTTATTCCAATGGAAACTTGACAAGACATATTGAATATTTCCTTCTTTGTAGACTGTATCCTTTTCCTGCTTTAGCCTTTGTGTTCATCTAAACTATTTTTCTATGTGGGAAAATTATTTTTAAGAAATCAATAGTCTTTATTCACTCTTATTTGTCCTTTAGTCATAAATATGGGTTGAGGTACAATAACTGTTTACCCCAAGGACTTTAAAGCCCTCTGTAAATGTTGCCTAATAAATTTCCATTGAATTCCTATGCAATGTAATATTCCTTTGGCCCTAACAATCTGAAAATGAACATAGACATAAAATGCCTTGCTTAGAATAATTGCATTATAAAATAGGCATAACTGTATTACAGTAAGAACTTCTTTTAAAAAGTTTTTTAATCTGTAAATTTTAAAGCACATAAAAATAGAATAATGAATTCCATATCTGCACCACAAAGCTGAAACATTCATTAATAACTGAATAAACAAGTTTTACTTCTGAAGGAAACTGAAACCTTTAAATATAATATGATTCCAAAGAAACAACTCACAAGTTAAACACAGATATTGAAAAAAAATAGTGAAGGAAGTTTCTGTGATGATATTTGATGAGAGAGGGAAGTAGAACATCTGGCTGATTATTTCTTACGCCAAATCTAATTACCAGAATGAGGGCCAGGAAAATGTTAAATATGTGATATGAAGGGTCTGCCAACATGCCTGTTATTCACTCAAAAATATTTATTGGCATACCTGTGTCAAATACTTTGCTTCCCCCCAGAAAAGGCATCTTAATAGGATGGAGGAATGG